GCAAGGCTCCGTGAAGAAATGGCTGATCCTAACGCCAGGGCAGGGAAAATACAAGATATGCCTGTAGCATCTTATAATATCACAAAGTAAGTGCTCTAAAAAGCAGAAGTTTGAGGGAATGTCAAAGGGAAACATGAACAAACTTGAAAGAGCTCCCAAGGCCAAAGCTGGACATCTGGGCAACAAAATCATGTTCTATCAGGTTACAACTCAAAGTATAAATTAAACATATATGAGTCTGTAGTGGCATATTTATTTACACACATACATGACCAAATAAATGATAGAGGAGACAAATCTTCCTTGCAGGAGGATTCCAAATTTTAGATACTCCTCACTCAAGGAAAGAAGTAGAGCTTAATTCTCTCCTCCCTCCTTCAATGTAGGTTGGACTCAGTGACTATCTTCCAAATAGACTAGAAGAAGAAAGGGAGAAAAGGAAAGTAACTTTAGAGTGGAGACCCTAACCACCACCTCAAGCATGTAGTCAAGGTTAAACATCACCAATGATGTCATGTGTATCACGTACCCCCTGATATGGTAAGGGCACTTCACTTATACGGTATATTGACCCCAAACCCATAATTACAGTTTAGTCATGAGAAAAACACTAGACAAAACCCAAATTGAAGGACATTCTACAAAATGCCTCACTAGTACTTCTCAGAACTGTCAAGGTCATGACAAAAAAGGAAAGATTGAAAAACTGTCAAAGGCCAGAGGACACTAAGGGTACATGATGACTAAATGTAATGTGGTATCCTGAACTGCACCATGGACTAGGAAAAGGGCATTAGGAAAACTCAAAGACTGGAGTTTGGGACACCTGGCTGGCTCAGTTGGTAGAATATGTGACTCTTGATCTCAGGGTCATGAATTCAAGTCCCATGCTGGGCGTAAAGTTTACTTAAAAAAAAAAAAAAAATCTGGTGTTTAGTTAACTAGCAATATATACGAATGCTGGTTTCTTAGTTTTGACCAATGTATGGTAATGATAATAGTGGTAACTGAATGAGGGGTATATGGAACTCTGTATAAATTTGAAACTTTTCTGTAAGTCTAAAATTATTTCAAAATATAACATTTATTTAAAAAAATTGGCATATGATTCTCTGTAGCTTATTACTTTGATATGTAAATCATTTTGTGATTTTTTTAATACAAAACAATGTCTTCTTTTTTTTGGTAGTCCCAACACTAATAGATTACATGTACCCCTCTTAGGGATACATGTAATATTTGAAGCTGGTGAGAACATGGTGTCTCTCTCCCTCAACTACTGGAGGATATGTAGACCTATAGCTCAAGCTTAAAGGTGACTGAAGGAGATCTATAAGACTAATGAACTGGGACTAACTGGTGGTAGAGGTTCTGTCTCAAGGCATTTTTATTCCTTACTGAGCAATTTTACTCTCATACAAGCAGCCTTAAACTGCTCAATAAATAGTCACACAGTATTTGAGGCAAATGTGCCTAAATGAAGAGGACACATAAAACCTCAGACTCCCAAGTCAAGCTACATCTTAACTTTTATAGAGTACACTGTAGTAGCCTTTAATTCACACAGGAATTTCAATCCTAAAGAAAACTACTCAAGTAGCAATAAATGAGAAGTTAAAAAGACCAGACCCCAGTTGCCAGTGAAAGGATGTCAACCATCAGAGGTCATATACATCAGGTCCACAGCGTGACAAAACTTACTCAGAGTTAGCTGATGGTTGTACATATACCGCCAATTATATGAAAATAAGTGACAGAGAACAAAAAGTTAAATCAAAAGGCAGGGGAAAATCTGGGCCTAACCCCTGCAGTCAGGTCCCTGACATTGCAAACACCTGTGAGATTTGAACATTTGCTAAATGTTGGATTGTAGGTCAAAACAAAAAGCAATGGAATGCAGGACTTCAGTTACATGGAATGTCCAGAATAAGCAAATCCATCGAAACAAAAAGTAGATTAGTGGTTCCCTGAGACTGAGAGTAGAGAATGAGGAGAGACTGCTAAAGGGCATGGGGTTTCTTTCTCGCATGATAAAAATGTTCTGAAATTAGACAGTGGTGCTGGTTGCACAACTGTGAATATTCTAAAACCACTGAACTATATACTCTAAGAGGGTGAATTTTACAGTACATGAATTGTCTCAGTAAGAAAAAAGCAATGCACATAAAGAAGAAAGCAATGCAAAATGTTCCTCTCCACAAAATGGGGAATATAGGAGTTTATAATGGCATGGTCAAAATGGAACATCTGAATCCCTACACATTTTTTTTTTTGGTAAAGAACAAAACTTGAGTAATGAAAACACAGAATTAGATCCAGTAGCCTATTTTTTCTACCTTACAATCCATTTGACTTGAATGGAGTCATTTGAAACAAAAAGTTATGTCAAAACCCCCAGAATTGTAACTTGTTTGGAGAGTGGTTCTAGAACAGAGAAAATGGTCTTTGGATATAATTCTTGTAACTCATCTAGAATGCATTCTGAAATATGAAAATAAGACAACCAACCAAAGATCTGTCTGGGTAATGAGGGGCAGACATTTCCTAGTGGGATAGGATGTTGATGAAGCATGTGTAAACCTCTAGGTCTTTTTTTTTTTTTCCCACACAGATTATAAACTCCATGAGAGGAGAGATTGTTTTATTCAGTTATATTCCCTGCACTTAGTACAAAGTAGATGCTCAGTAAATATTTGTTGAACGAATCAAGTTTATGATGCAGCTGTGAACTGGCTTATTCATCTATGCAATAATCTAAAATGAGTCTATTTTGAAAACTGGCATCATGTTCTTTTGCTAGAAAAATTCTCATTTAAACTTACTGAATAACTATAAGTTAACTGGTTTGAATACAGGCATAAAACACCTGAATTAATGAACTAAACTTAATTTAATGAACCTGTTCCCAAAGTTAAAATGGGTGAAAGAGCTTTTGCGAAAGCTTGAAGGAGTGGAGGCGTGTCATTGCTGGCCATGTCACCTATTACTTTAAACCAAAAACCACCAAACCCTGCTTTCCAGTAAGAACACTGTAAAGAGGGAAGGAATCATGATGATGCTTTGCAGTACAGTCGATATTAGCAGGGATCAATTATCCCACTTTGCTCATATTTTGCCATTAGCTAACAACCCTTCTCCCTATAAGTAAAATTCTGCGTGTAAAGCAGTAAGATACCCAAATATTACTCAGTAGTCTCTCAGTCTTCATCACACTTGTTTTAGGTGAGATTTCAAACATAAGTTATTGTACAGAAGCATTTTCAACTCTTGAATCTTTTTTCAAAAATAATATATCTCTTCCCTCCATTCCTGACATTTACCCACATCTAAAATACTGATGAACAGGCCCTCACTATTACTTGAAGGCCAGAGCCCTGCAAACAACATCCACTGATTTCCAAGAGGCAGCCACCACCCTGCTTTCCCCAAACTACCCCCTGCATCCCGTGAGTGCTGCCAACACCTAAAAACCTACATCACTCAGGAGATTCCTGGATCAGAATCCTCTGTACTCAGCTTCTGGCAGCTATTAAAATTCAGTATATCATAGAATCATGTTACTTCTTCCAACTGAGAGATTCCAGGCAGCCCACAGCCAGACTCTGAAACAGCTTTTCAGGCCCCATTTTTTATGACAGATGCTGTCACATGTCACAAGACTTCCAGGACTTGGTTCTTCGAGAACAGCTTTCCACCACTGTGGAATGGGCTGTGGGTTCACGTAGCGGGATCCTGTATTGTGTTCAACTACACTCTGAAGAAAAACATTTTATTGCTATGGAAAATTTTGTTCTTGTGCTTCGCAAGTCTTGCCAAGTCTCTTAATGTGGATATTTCTTCAGAGATGGAAGCCATAAGAACTCTTTGGTTATCCGGACACAAAATACAAAGACTGTTTATTTGGGAGCAGCCCTGGCTTTCTTCATAAATACATTTTGTAGGGGGATGGCCTACAAACAATTGAAATGGAAAACCATCTGTAGAGACTGCCATTTCATAGAAGAATTAAAAACAAAAAAAGCACAGTGTTCCAGTATCAGTAGGAGAAACAGGCTTAAAACACAGTTTGCTTTATACTCACCAGACTGGCTTGAGTGAAGCTGAAGTTGGGAACAATGTGATTTTCACACATGGTATTGGTTTGGTTTTAAACCCCATACCCACTTTTAAAAAGCATAATTTAGCTTTGGTTTCTTTCATTCTTTAGAAGACATCTTTCGGTTTCTTAAGCATCAGAGGTAATTGGTGATTTAAAATTAGTGGTAGTAGTAGTTTCAAAGTGAATTAGTTTCCCTAGTCCTACTACACACAATGGAACACTGCTCCCATCCTGAATGCATTTCTAGCTGAAGTTGGAAAGAAGCTTCCTCTGGACTTCCCGAGGGGCTCTCCCACCCAAATAACAAGTTTCCTCCCTACCCACAAAGTAGCTTCCATTTTCCAACTGTAGACACACACACACACACACACACACACACACTGGACTTCCCGAGGGGCTCTCCCACCCAAATAACAAGTTTCCTCCCTAC